TAAACTTTGCAATGACAGAGAATTGCCAAAAAGCAGTGGATAATCAATCCTTTTGTGGCTGACGAAGACGAAAGATTGTGCAAACTGCAGACCGACCTCGTCCAGAAGGTTAACTTCAGAACTTTTGAGACATACAGTGACTTCTGGATATCACTGCTACGCATCCCCGAGTACCAGCAAATCGCTGAAGAAGCTGTAAGCGCCCTCGTAGCAATGCCCAGCTCCTACCTTTGCAAAAAGAAATTTTCAGCCCTGGCGGGCATCAAGACCAAGCAGCGAGCCTCAATTGAAGACGTGGACACGCTCATGAGAGGGACGCTATCAGAACTCGAGCCCAGATTTGACAAAATCGCGGACAGCATACAACAACAGCCGTCACATTAGTTTGTACGGTTAGGTTAGGTTAGGACAGTACTGGGTTAGGACTTAGTTAAGCATTGCAGTTTCAAAAGTAATAAAAAAAATGGATAATGGGATAGTGGGGTGAATGACTTCAGAAGTCGAGTCGCTAGGGGTGAACAAGTTCAAAAAAGGTTGAATAGCACTGGTCTAAAGCACTAAAATGGGCGTCTAGTGCTGCATATACTTTCCCTCACTGATTGCTGCTGACCAACCCGTTTACCATTTCTGCACCTACCCAGATTGTAATTAACCAGATTGTTGGCCTTCCAAGAACCTAGAGTAATGCTGATGCAGCATGAATTCATTCAATCAGTAAAATATATAAGATAATCCTGTAGGTTGCCTTACCAAAATGTTTCTATGGCAAGCCAAGGTATAGATATCAACAGGTAATCAAGAAAAATGCAATTGTATCACAAGATATTTGGCACATACAATAATAAAATTTGAGTTTATTTACAAATGTTTACAATCACCATCGTCGTTTACTCTCGACTTTAACCCTGTTCGTTGGTCGAACGTCAAACGGATCGTCGATGCCGCGACGACACGGCATCGAATCGCCCGCGAACGCCGCGTCACACGGTGTGTAAAGAATACCGCCGATCGCCCGCGAACGCCGCGTCACACGGAGTGTAAAGAATACCGCCGAGTCACACGGAGTGTAAAGAATACCGCCGATCGCCCGCGAACGCCGCGTCACACG